TCAATTTCGCAGAATTACCATATAAGTGGGAGGTTAGGGTCTGACATGTGGTTCGGGGTATAGTGTGTCTGTTGGAATACTCTGGTATTTTGCCGAGGTTTGAGTCGAAAATTGTCAAATACATGTTTTCAGCTCATTCTTGCCAATTCGGGCTGGCCTCTGTGAGGCTGGTATAAGTGGTGGTCCCGTCAGGAATATTTCCCGACCTTAAGCCGAAAATCGAAATGTAAATTTTCATTTTGGCTCATATCTCACCTTCTCTATATGTTTGGATTCTGAGGGGTCAAACCATGAGTATAGGTTGTCTGTTGGAAAAACGCTGACATTCTGCCGACTTTAAGCCAAAAATCGAACTGTGAATGGTAATTTCAGCTCATATCTTACAATTTCTGGCTGTACCCAAAAAGCTAATTTGGGAATATTCTGGTTTTCTGTAAACAATAAGCCGATAAAAAGTGTTATATCTGCTCAAAGCTCACCATTTTCAGCTTTCTTTTGTGATTCCAAGGTTCAGTTCAACAGAAACCCATTAACATATATGATTAGTCACGAAAGACCAGCGAGGACATTTCAATTTCATGAATTCCCGATTATATCTTCGTGAATTTACGAATTCAACTTTCGTGAGTTAACGTTTTTTCAAAACATACGGAAATCACGAATTTACGATTTACTTCAGGAATTCACAACTTCAAACTTCATGAATTCACGTTTCAACTGCACGAGTTGACGATTTTAACTCTCTTATTCACGATTTTCAACTACATGAATTCACGGTTTCAACTTCACGAATTCGTGGAGATGAACCCAAGAATTCAAAAAGCTGAAATATCAACATCAGTCTTTGGTACTCAGGGGTCCGACTATTTGTCGCTGTAATACTATGCTATTGTGGTCATTTTGGATCAAATAAAAAAAATTCTGACTTGTTTCTATGAGTTGTAGGCCCTATTCAGCTTGATTTGGATGGACTTAAAATTGATCCAGACAGTGTCCTTCAGGGAGTCGGTGGGACTGTTCCGCCTTGGGCTTATGGTTCCCCGACGGTAAATATTAACCTTTTTAAATGTGGAAGGGTCGTCAGGTTCCCCTTGGCATTTCAAAAGGAAGTTTCTAGCAATTGGGGGGGGGGGGACCCGTGAAGATTTTGTGCATATTTATACGGACGATTCGAGGGTGGGTTGCAGGGTGGGTGCGGCTGTTTGAGGGTGGTTTTGCATCTGGTATGGGGTTACCAGGTAGTGCGTCGATTTTTGCTGTTGGGGCGGGGGCTGTGGGTTAGGCGTTGTCGTGCGTGGTGAGGCGTACCCGTGGTGGGTTTGTGGTGTTTTCTGGCTCGCTTTTTGTTTTGGTGTCCATTGGGGATAAACAATCTTGCAGTGTCGTGGTGGGGAAGCTTCTTTTGCGGTTTCGTGGTGGGCTTGAGACGGAGTCTGTTGTGTTATGTTGGATTCCGGGTCCATGTGGGGTGGGGGGGGGGGGGTGGAGGGATTGGTGCTTTGGCTGGCGCGGTCGGCGTCCGTTGAATTTTTGGGGGGGCTGGCTTGTTATTACCCTGCTTGTGGGGATTGGGGGCCGGCTGTGGGTGGACTCGTGTCGTTTGGATGGTGGGCGGGTTGGGACAAGGCCGTTTTTAATGGGCTTCACGGTGTGGACCCGTCTCTTGATGTTTCACCGTCTCTGTCTCTGTCAGGCCGCAGTGGTCGGGCAGTTCTTCGATGCCGAGCTGGACACGCTGGAATTGCCCGCTCTTGTCTCCTCACGAGTGACGAAGCCCCTTTCTGTGTCTTGAATGTCATGATTTTTCACAGGCCCGTAATAGATTTTATTGTGTAAATTCACTCGAAGAACTCTTTAATACAGTTCCATCAAAACTCATCATTGATTGTTTCAAAGAGACAAACCTGTTTTCTAGGATCTAAATGGCTCATTTATATTGTCATTTACAAAGTTTAACCTCACATTTTAAGCCTATTTTAGCATTCGACACGGTAAGGACAGTTGTGCGTTGACGTGCCGTAAAAATAAAAAAAAATAAAAAAAAAGAAAAAGAAAAAGAGAGAAGATTCGGTTGGGGTGGGGGGGGGGGCAGGGAACGTTTGTCATTCAACAGTCAGTATATGTTTAGGTAAAGAATATCAATGATAACGAGTCTTGCTGTAAGATGAAGTAACAAACTATTAAAATGAAATCAAAAACATGTACGGCGTTATTCTAGTTATTTTAAGCTGATCATGTTAACCTTCCCTGTTAGGGTTTTTCCGTTAATAAATTGCTAATTTTCTTTTTTAGGATCGTTGAATGTCCGTCGTCTGTTGTCCGTCGTCCGTCCACACTTGTTCGTTAACATTCTAGCGGTCACATTATTTGTCTCAATCATCATCAAACTTTGTCAGGATGCTTGTCTAGGTGATTGCTCGGATGAGTTCGAATATGGGTCATCTCGGATGAAAAACTAGGTCACCGGAGCTAAAAATAGAAAAAACCTTGTTAACACTCTAGCGGTCACATTTTTGCCTCAATCATCATCAAACTTGGTCAGGATGCTTGCCTAGGTGATAGGTCGGATGAGTTCGAACATGGGTCATCTCGGATGAAAAACTAGGTCACCGGAGCTAAAAATAGAAAAACCTTGTTAACACTCTAGTGGTCACATTTTTGCCTCAATCATCATCGAACAAACTTGGTCAGGATGCTTGTCTATGTAATAGCTCGGATGAATTGGAACATGGGTCATCTCGGATGAAAAACAAGGTCACAGGAGCTAAAAATAGAAAAATCTTGTTAACACTCTAGTGGCTACTGTTTTGATCTAAATATCCTATAAATTGGTCTGAAAATTTGTTTTGATGATTTCTAGGTCAAGTTCGAATATGAATCACCTGGGGTTAAAAACTAGGTCACTCTGCCCAAATAAGGAAAAAACTTGTTTACATTCTAGTGGTCACATTTTTTACTCAATTAAAATCAAACTTGGTCAGGATGCTTGTCTAGGTCATTGCTCGGATTAGTTCGAACATGGGTCATCTCGGAAGAAAACTAGGTCACCGGAGGTAAAAATAGAAAAAATCTTGTTAACACTTTAGTGGCTACTTTTTTTATCCAAGTATCCTGGAAATTGGTCTGAAAATGTGTTTTCGTGATTTCTAGGTCAAGTTCGAATATGGGTCACCCTGGGTAAAAAACTAGGGCACCCTGCTCAAATATGGATTATCTCTGTTAACACTCTAGTGGTCACATTTTTGACTCACCTGTAATAAAACTGGGTCAGAATGCTTGTCTAGGTAATTGTTCGGATATATTAAACGTGAACTTTGTTATTTGTGTAATTTTCCAATAACTATTTTTCAATTGATTTTTTATAAATTTATATGGTTTATTATAATTTCGTCGAAATGAAGAGCACCATGAACAAAACTAAAAAGGAAAAATCAAGAATACAAAACCGATTGTTCAGAATTTAGAAATTCAAGGGACGTTATAGAGAGGACAGAAATTGACAGGGGGTGAAGATTAACTATGGTAAAAACCCTCAATTAAGACAAACATCGTGATTGGACCAAAGTGGTCGTAATTCAGGGTTGGTCTCAATTGTGGATATTCTTATCAAATAGCTTACATACTTTATGACCATGACTTTATAACCTACAAATACAATATCAAAGTATGTTATAATATTTAATATGATTAGAAGCAAAACATATTTCTGAAGACATCTAATATCAAATTCCATTTGTTGTGATTTAAATATTAATTATAATATGATGTGCATAATTCAACTATCATATAAGAAATGAATTCTTTACAAATAAATGTGCCGAAAGCAGAATTAAACTACAGTGACGCACAATTTTACTTTCTCAACTAATTTCAAATAATAACCCATTAACTGTTGTTAACACCGTCATGCCAAAGAGCATTCAAATAGAAAATAACAACGAATTTGTGATTAATTATAGGTAGGTGTTGAGTTTAACATCAGTGGTCTCAATAGTGGGTTAAAAAAGAGACAATAAAACAAGGACTTTGGGACTGAATCTGGTTGTTTTAAAAGTGGATAAGCAGGGTGGTCTTAATTCTGAATCATGTTAACATAAAGAACAGAAAATTCCGTTCTTTTATTGAATGGTCTAAATAGCGGGGTGGTCTTAATTCTGTGATGGTCTTAAGAACAGAGAGTCTACTGTTTGAAGTAGAATTTGCTTCGGATAGCTGGGCAGTTTGAACAACCAATATAAAAATAAAAATGTTCTATAGAGTTGCCTGCTTTCATCAAACATTCTCCTTTTTGATTCATCGTTATAAAATTCAATAAAGGGACATGGTGAATATGAACAACAACGGCGTAATGCTCAGCTTTGTTATATCTATTGACAAGGTTGTCTCCCTACCATTTGTAATTCAGTTTAATTTAGTTTTAGAGTATAAGTTTCGAACTGGCCAGGGTCAAATTTACAAATAAAAATCAAATTTGAAATAAAATCAGATATTTGACCTTCTAAATATCTAAATATCAAATAATTGGAAAAAATGCGGGATTTAAAGTTTGGTAGGTAAATGGCTATGCGGATGTTAATATTATTTGCAAATATGTCGTTATCTCCTGTTTGAGGACATTTCTATTTTATCAAGGTCAAATTTTCAGAATTGAACAAAAATAGTAAAAGGAAGAAAAATTGTGGTACTTAATGAATATTAGAACTTAAGAAGGCAGGATACCAGAGTATTCTCGACGGACACACATATACCCGCGGACACCCGGTCAGACCCCCTTACCATCCCACCATATGGGGTTCTGCGTAATTGAGTCTGGTCCCCATCTAGGCCGGCCGGAATTGGCCAGATATGAGCTGTATAGTACGATTTTCGGCTCAACGTCGGCAAAATACCAGAATATTCCCGACGGACACACCTATACACACGGACACACAATGCACTACACATAAATTCTTCAATCTGCTGTCGTTTTGTTTTTAATCTTATGAAGCCTTGATTTCTGTTTTTCTGGCTAGCCGGAATAGTCGGAGATCGATGTGATAAGTAATTCGACACTATATTATTAGCCAATGGTCTTTTGCATAGGTTTTACTGTATCATCTCTGGTCAGCCTGTATAGCCGGAACCGGATTCCGGCTAGCCGGAGTAGACGAAAATGAATTCCGGCTGTCCCGGCTATACACGCTTCATGTAAAAGTGCACGTTTTAATTTCAATTTGTAATAAACAGGAGTAGTACGTTAACCCTTTGAGGATATAATTATAATGTTGACATTATGAATACTCTAAATTAGAAAACCCGTGAGACCACACATGTGCGCGTTCATTTTTAGTATGCCACCATGATGAAGTAATAATTTTAAATCCTATACTTGTATTAATGAAACTATTCTTTGTTTGTTTTATTACAGCTTTGAGCAACAAATTTGAGCGGCAGACGTCTACAGGATGTCCAATAGATTTTATAAAACACGAAAATTCCTGTTACCACATCTTCGCTACACCCACTTTAAAATGGTGGGAAGCCATGGTTAGTTATACAGTTCTTGGCACATTATGCCTAAAAACAAATACATTTGTTGCTCTCCAGTAAGGGCAAACATGAATTTTATAATGTTTAAATAATACGGAATGTTGATGCTTGTAAAGAAGTAGCGATAAATTGATCAATGTGAAACAATTCTTAGCTCTTCTAAGCTTACTCAGGGTGAGCTTTTAGGATTGTTGAATGTCCGTCGTCTGTCGTACGTCCACACTTGTTCGTTAACACCCTAGCGGTCACATTTTTGCCTCAATCATCATCAAACTTTGTGTATGTCAGGATGCTTATTTAGCTGATACAATGGTAGGATACTACGTCATCGCGCACCTGCTGAATGCTCCCACTTGGACCATTTTTTTCATCGACTCGAAGGTAAAATACAATTTTATTATAAGAAAACGAGTATTAAAATATCATTTAGCGCACCAAAGAATGGCTATAGTACTTGAGATAATTGTTTAAAAAGTTCATAGATTCATTGCCTAGTTTAGGCCTGAAAACGGGATAAGTGTTTTTCTCTAAATGCTCCCACTCGGACTTTTACCGAAACATATAAGAAATAAGGTTCAAAACCTTCTTGAAAATTATTTGTAACATACCGGAACATAAACCGAGTCATGTTTACTCATTTTCTAGATTAGTATCAAATATTTCTATTCAAAAGTCAGTTTTAAAAGTTTTTTGTTTTTTTATAAAAATGGAAAATGCTCCCACTCTGACTCGATTTCAGAGATGCCCCGACTCGGACCCAAATATATAAGCTTTTATGGATTATTCTCACAATTTTTACACCATTTTGTCAATAACTATTGTGTTTGGCAACATTAACCTTTTCCTTTATTTTATTCGGAGGAATGACGTCGTTGGGCAGGAACAAGGCGCCATGGCAAAGTTTCAACTGACAGGATCACTTTACAAGGTGCACTTGGCTTGTGTTGGATCAGAAGGGATGATTCAAAATTATTGCCAACAACAAAGCTAGGACGATAAGACTTTAAATGGACAGTTTGAATCTCAAGAATAAAGTTTTGTTATGATGTTAAAAAATGGTGGTGCTTTATAAAGAAGTCATTTAACATTGTTTAGTACCATATACTAGATTAAGATTCTGTTGGACTCGTACACATATTAATGGCCTGCATTTACTCAATAATTGTTGACTTTAATATCTTGTAAATAATTTGAAACCCAATGATTTGCGTTTCTTAAACTTGTGATATAGATTTAAAAACAACTTAATGGTACATTTATGAACATAAAGAAGTCAATACCTATCGGTTGATTTGAATAGTTTATTAACCCTTTCCCCCATGAGCATATTGTGAAAAATGGCCATTTTCACTGAAAAGCCTCCTGTTACAAGTTCAAACTGCTATGAAACTATGAAAAAGGCTTCAATACTAATCAAACTTGGCACAAATGTTGACTGGACCATTGCCTTTGTAACGACCTGCTCAGTCTTAAATTTCCTGTTACCATGGCAACGAGGGGGCATCTCAAAATTGCCAAAAATCACTTTTTTGCCTCGATTTTAACCATCAAAATTTATTTCAAAGTGCTGCAACTTCTCAAGGGATTGAGATAGAGTCAAAGGCTTTTCGGGGTTGGTTACACGTTACCATATGATCGACCTGGGGTCAATTTAAGCCTCTCACAAGTCCAAAATTTTCTTGGCGATGAGGGGGACTCCGCCACCCTTCAAACCCCCCAAACAGAAGGGGGCACATCCCCCTTCTGGCAACCCCCTGATGTAATATTTGGATGGGGGGCGGCGCCGAAAAAATGGTCACTTTTTTTAACAACATTTCTCAAACAAAAGACAGTGTTTGGGGCCTAAATAGGGCATTTTTTCACTGTTTGAGGCCTCAAAAAGGGGGGGGGGGGCAAAAAGCCGTCGAAACACGCTTATATAAGGGAAAAGGTTAAAGAACAGCATGTAAATCATTTTTGTCATGAACTGGTTAAAAAGTCAATGTACTGCCATACCATGGCATATGAAGCATGTATCAAAATTATTGACAACTTTGACAATTTTAAGTATGAAAGTTATCACCTGTGCATATTTAACCTAAAATAACAAAATTAAATAAATAAGAAAACAAAGATCACAGTTATTTCTTTATCACAGTCTTTACCATATATTGGTAATTAAAGATCTTGTAAGGTATATTTCAGGTTGTTACCAATTGAAATTTATATATATGTATATAATTATGCTACTAAAACAATTTTCAAACATTAAGGAATATGTAAAATACGTACTGCAATTCTTGTCCACATTATATGTAATCATTTAAATATACATGTATGCATTCATTTCTTATACATATAATAGAAAATATATTTCTAATTACCTCCCTTTATGAAATGTAAATTGGGTATAATCTTTACAAATAATGCTTTTTGGAATATACAATATTGATAAATCTTCATTTGAGCATTATATTTATGATATAAAACCATAAAAAGTTGATTTCAGGATATTTAAATGACGTTAAAATAATAACAAACATACAAGAGGGAGTCACAGAGAGTAAAATCCCCCAACGTAAAGGAGGAAATACATTTCATAGGGGAAGTAACCCTTACATACATGTAAAAATTCCAAGTAATGACACTCGTGAAAATAAATTACAATCATACAAGAAGGAATCACAGACAGTAAAATCCCCCACCGAAAAGGAAGAAATACATTTCAAAGGGGAAGTAACCCTTACAAACATGTAAAAATTCCAAGTAATGACACTCGTGAAAATAAATGAAAAGTTATAACCTAGAAATAATAAATCATGACAAAAATAACACTCCAATGAAAAAAAAGAAGAAAAAAAAACAACAACAAAAAAGCATTGAAGTGAACATTTCTGGTCCTTATGCTCTGCTATTCACTTCTATTAAACATGTTCAATATAAAGTTTCAAGTTTATATCTCAAATACCTTGATAGGTATGGTCCTTGCAATCTAATCATGGTCAATACAAAGAGCAATAACTCCAAATCTGGAGAGTTGTCATTCAAGTTTGCGGTATTTTACTTTATTGAAATCTATCCTCTAGTGAAGTTTCAGATGAATATTTCCTCTATGACACATTGTCCAAAAATTAACGCAAAAACTGTACAAAATACGGCTACTGTTTTGATCCAAGTATCCTGGAAATTGGTCTGAAAGTTTGTTTTGATGATTTCTAGGTCAAGTTCGAATATCGGTCACCTGGGTAAAAAGCTAGGTCACACTGCTCAAATACGGATAACCCTTGTTAACACCCTAGTGGTCACATTTTTGACTCACCTGTCATGAAACATTGTCAGAATGCTTGTCAGGTCAGGTCAGGTCAGGTCAGCAAACAAGGGCCATCATGGTCCTCTTGTTAACAAAAGTAGAAAAAATGTGAACAAAGTAGTATTTTGACTTCCATACAAAATACTTATGCACTATAAACTGTTCTTTTTTGACAAAAAGGCAACAAATGAAAAAAATGCTCCAGGTAATTGACATTGAGTAACTTTTTGGATACTATAAAAGAACACCAAAATTTAAATGCTTTTCAGAATTAAAAACAAAAAGCATTTCTGAGGCATAATGGGCCTTTAAAGAATTATTTATTCATTTATCTCCCTTGCCTTACAGACTTTGCCATCCTATAACTGACGCTCACTGTGGGGACTTTTTTGCTTTAAATATTCATATTTGTTTGTTTTTTTCCATTATTTTTAGGCATACTGTCAAATATATGGTGGCGGAGCGGGAACACTGGCTACGGTGGAGTCCGAATCGGAACAGCTGTTCCTTGAAAATGAAATGAAGAAAGCATTCCGTAAGTTTCTACTTATAAATTCATTAACCGTATGGTTCTTTTCAGCTAAATCTAACAGCTAACATCAAAAGTTTGTTTGTATCAGAGACTAATTTCATTGGTAAGTATTCATTCTGTTGCAATTTCTGACAATCAAATACCTGAGCTATGATAATTTCTTTATGACCTTTGACCTGCATTATACTTATTGATATTTTTTCCTGTCAGCAAACTCTTCCCGAAGACACTATTGGCTGGGGGCTAATGATGTGACGCATGAGGACACGTGGGTTTGGATAAAGAAAGACGAGTATGTTCAAGAATACACTCCTTGGGCACCGGGCGAACCAAACAACGAAGGTAAATCTGAAAATTGCCTGGGATTATATGATCGTTATCAGTATAAATGGAATGATGCGCCGTGCAATGAACAACAGGGCTTCATTTGTGAACTTCCGTAAAATAAACAACTTTTTCTTCAACATTTATTTAATTCATAAAACAGGTGTTTGTGAACGTGTACTCACTTGCGTTTTTGTGCGTGTGTGTCATTGAGTTTAGACACTTCTTTTATGTAACACTTGTTAAACTCTTCAAATCCATTTCAGTTGAAAATATTTCAACATTTCAGTTAAAGCGGCCTTCAGCTTTTTTTGTTGGAAAAACAATTCTGTGTTGTTTCAAATTAAGTTTTTCAATAATTTTATCTTAGAAAAGTGCATCTTATCACTTTTAAGCCTTCTTCAAAACAGTATCCAGAGAGCTATTTGTGACGTGTCAGTGACGTCTGAGATCGGAATCAAAGTGCTGAAGGCACTGCAGTTGGGACGTACCTGAAGGATCAAAATTTCCATTTTTTACTATTTCAAGGACAAAAGTGTAAAGGACGGAGGTTTTCTTAAGTTCACAATGTGTTTTTTTTTCTTTAATCATCTAAAATCTCAAAAACACCATTAGAAACATATTTTCCTCCCATAAGCAACCTTTTTACCCACAAGTACAATTTAGTCTGTATGGAATGAACACGGATATTTATCTATAATATTACTTGAGTCCATACAGACAGATGGTTAAGACCGCAACTGTATTCTCTCCCTTTTTGGGAGCATAAATTATAATAACATGCTAAATCTCCATATGGTTCTATATCAGATACCAGTATGATGAACCTTGCTTTTGTACCTTTTGAGTAATATCAGAATTCAGATTTCATTGACATACAGGAGGGGTCAGCCTTTAGTCCCCTCTTGGTGAAAACAGAAGGGGGCTAATAACAACAATTTATTCTAGTTTCAATTCTCAGGTTTATTACTTTTCATTAAACTAGACAAGCTAAGATACATGTTATAACTTATGAAGTATGCTAGCTCTGAATGTATTTACACAACATTGCTAAACATTACACAATATTTTAATAAATTTTAGAATGTGCAGTCATATGTTACACAAGTCCCAGGAGCTTCAGTTCATGGAAACTTTTGTAGAAATCAGTCAAAACATCACCATTGATTTAATTTATCACTGCTGGGTAAGTGTGATGGTTTTGTTTGAAGCCAAAACAACTAGATTTAACATTATCCTTCAACACAATGTTCATGACTGGCCCTTTACTATTGACAGGGAATTCAACTGAAGTGCTAACTCAGACTACCCCTCTAAAATAGTCCAACTAGTCCTAAGTGTTCATGGTGGCTATACATTTATGATCACTATATCTGGAAACTGGAGATTCCCACAGACTGTGATGCTTATCTTCATTTGCTTGACAGTGACGCATGTCCACCTTAAAAAAATGCATTAACAATTATATGAAGTGCAATAATTTGCCCCCCAAAAAATGCTTATCTTATTTGTCTCTTCTTACATTTATAATGCAGAGCATTAGATTTATGTGTCTGTCATACAAAATGACTTTCAATAACACTATTTAAATATATTTGAAATACAATTTCTTTAATAAATACTCATAGTAATACTAAATTCCTTTTTTGTAATATTTTTTCTGTCACATATGTTCAGACATTATACAATTTATTTGTTTAGTCCGCATACAAATTAAAGGTATAATTATTTATTGGCTACAAATAAATGTAAATAGTGGTTAGTTTAATAACCAATATATATGTTTCAAAGATTATCCCTTCAAACTTTAAAAACAGCCTGTCAATTACGCAGATCTTAGCAATTGAGGCACACTAAGCAGAAAAATTGTCAATCAAAGGGTAGGGAAACATTTTTATACATATTTAAATCATTTGGTTGAGAAACAATCATTTCACAGCTGTGCTTTGCTATTGAATATTTTTTTTTCAATCTTGAATAATTATAAGGTAAACAATGTTCATAAGGATGAACTGTATTGTAAATTTTGCATACATATTGAGGTCTTGTTCATAGCAACAATGACTGTATTGTAAATTTTGCAGTTCCTTGTAATGCCCTTTAGGATTGATTTGTACCACCCTAAAACACCATACTATGATATTTCATGTAAGTGATCATTTTCAGCAAGGGAAAAAGACTGTCATAGGCAGTATCCTAATGCCAGTTGACAGAAATGTTTAAAGTATGTTCTTAACTAACACTATAATAAACTGTGATATGCACTGACACTCTTTTATTTTAGGCTGTACTGTATATGAACTAGTCTTGGACTATTTCAGTATGTAGATTAGAAATGCAAACTAAACAATTTCCTAGACATTTTGGGAAAAACTTTCTAGCACAGGTTAGGAAATTTTGCATCTTGATTGGGAAAAATATTCAGTACCATGTACAAAGTTGTCAATCCAACAAATTAAATATCATTCAAAGCATAAAAAACATAAACAATTGCAATGAAATGTGTTTTTGAACATCATCTGTCTGGTACCATATTGGATTGGAATGGAATGAAGAAAAATTGTCAGCTTTGATAACGGGAATTTTGACTCGATAATGATTTTTTTCTACACTTGAAAAAAAATAAGCATATTTGGCATTATTTGCCACTGGGAATGGGTCTGGTAATCTGGCCCGTGGTGACACTGGTAAAAAGGCATATGTTTTTATGAATAATTTTTGGAAATCATTTTGATTTGTGAAATATACATCAAATATTATACAAGTACCTGTTGTTTGTGATAATCTTCTTGTCTTTCTTTAATCTTATACTTTTTTCTAGCTACATGTACCAGCCTTTCCAAGTGTATATGGGAGTAAATGATCTTTTATTTCCCTGAAAATATCAATTAAGAGATTTCATCTTCAAAATTATCTAATACTACTCTTAGTGTGTGTATATACAAAGTATATATATGTGTACACCATGATATGATTGTGTAAAGCATGTAATGACAAAAACTTTGACAATTTATGATAATAATATTTCTTCATATTACTCTACAATATTATCACTTAAATAGAAAATGTTCTTATTCATTTTAGTATGATATTTATTTATTACATGTATATTTGTGAATAAAATGTGAATATCAGTTTTATCAAAAATTGTTTAATGTCTAATTAACACTGATTAAATTACTTCAACAATGTAGTGAGAACAGATATAGATCATTTCCAACAGCCTTGCTGTTGTGTTAACCTTTTTGCCACATGGTTGTGTGTCTGCCTTGTAATCAAGAGGTCTGGGGTTCAAATCCCTTTCAGTGCCTGAAGATTTTTCAGGTTAACAATTATCATGGTGGCAGTGATTTTTTTTTCAATTTTCAAAACAACCTGTGGCTTTCTGAAGTGGAAAATATAGCTTGATAAATCAGAAAAGGGGAAAATCAAATTCCAAACACTAAGAATGGAATTTACCCATACATTTAAAAAAATTCAATTTTAATTCAAGGTATTTTGACATGACGGGACTGAAAATATTTTTTCCAGATGTACCATTTGATGTAAGTTTAGACCACTAATCTTTGTGCAAACTTTCAGATGATTCGCGCACTTCGTTTTTCAAGAATAATTATTCAAAGAAATAACCCAAAATGAAAAGCGTTTAAACGCTTTTCACTCAAATCGGGCTAAAAAGGGATAAAAATACGTTCAATTTATTTCAAAGTATATTTCTTAACTATCCTATCTTTTGCATATATTTCTGTTTAAAGTGCCCCAGCTCATTTATGTATATAATTCAAATGTTATGTTTTTAGGCTTTTAAACCTCAGTGGAGTTCCCTTTAAACGTATGGAAATAGCAGAGGTATCTATAGGGACAGCTTTCTGTCTTCTAGCTGATATAAGTCAGCTGATGTTAAGTCATCGTTCTGGTAAAGAATGTGCACAGGGGTTTTGGGTGAAAATATTAGCATTTTCAGGGGAAAATATACCTATTTTGGGCTAGGTTAAACAGCCTTTATTCGGCTGTAAAAGGGGAAAAACACTAGGTGGTGAGGGCAAAATAAAAAATGACAATAATGCTCGTTTGTAATTTGTGGGTATGAAGAATCAATTAGCAATCAATAAAAGTTTAGTCAGAAATAATAGAACAGTGCGATCTACCTCTAATGTCTCGATTACACAAGACCTGCAGTATTTGCAGGGGGTTAAACTAAACAGCTAAATAGCGATATTGAGGGTTAAATCATTTTTTTTTCTAATCTTTCATAGAATCCCTATATTCATTGAATTACTTAATGTATAAACATGAAAGATAAGAATAAAATTATTCTGAAATATTTAAGAATGTGCCCCATTTAGTAGAGATGTTACGGCCCTGACAAGACCATCAAATTGTAGGCGTATATGCCGGATTCCCTGTAAAGCAGACATCTGTGTAATATCAATTTGTAATATCTGTCGGTTTTGCAGTCCCAAAATTGAGACTAGGCTAGGGTCGAAATGTCTTGGGGACGAAATGGTTCTCAAATTACTTCGAAATTATTAACGAAAGTTTTAGTCCACGGGAACGAATTGGCATCAATACATAAACTTATTATTATTTTTCATTAAATTCATAACATATTTTGCTTTAAAACTTACCTTATGGGCTAAACAGGCTGATATGCTTGTCAAGTACATGTAGGTCATAAAGTAAATCGGAGGTTGTCGGATTCATCTAATTATAGGCTATTTCAGAGACATAGATTATCTACATCTCTGGCTATTTCTATTTCAATATTCACTTTGCAATTATAAACTACAAAATTTATTCGATAAAAATTGTCTTTTTCAAAATTTTCTGGAATATCATACAAAAAATGTGATGATAAGGTACGGATGAGTAAGTTGAATATTGCGAGCCGTCAATCGCTTATCTCCATTCATAGAATTATTAGACCCAATTACTATCTCCATTCATAGAATTACTCGAACTTACCGTAATTCAAGCTATATTGCACATAGTTTTCAAAAAATGAATTTCTTATCTCCTCTTCCATTCGCAATAAATCAAAGTTACAGAATACAGAGCACTATTTTACTCGAGTCGGTCATAGTCGGCTGATCACTATGAATTCAACTTCCTTGAAAAATGTAGGAATACAATATAGCATATATAGTGGTGATGAAACGTCACGGCAGTGGGCGTTACCCTGTATGGGTGGAAATTTCGGGTTTGTAAGTACACTAGTTGGGACTACGTCCCAACTAAAAACGAATCGTCCGGTTTACTTATCTACACATAGAGAGCGGACCGGTAGATTTGAGGTATAAAATATTTAAAGATCCTGTATGTTTTGTAATTGAGGTTGTATATATATATATTTTTTAATGCGTTTATTTTAGGTCGCCTTCGGAACCTTCGGAAAGCCCATATGGGCGACCGTACACTCAAGTCGGGCTATCCTAGAGCGTCCCGCCGAGATTTTTTCGTCGATTTTTTTCCAGCTTTTATTGGTGGAGGACGACCCCAGGTGCCCCTCCGGGCATTATTTCAGTCACGAGCGGGCACCTGGGTAGAACCACCGACCTTCCGTAAGCCAGCTGGATGGCTTCCTCACATGAAATATTTCTACCCGAGTGAGGACCGAACCTACAGCGGTGAGGTACCTGTGATCTTAAGTCAGCGACCTTAACCACTCGGCCACGGAGGCCTCGGATGTTGTATACCACTCTTACGTGAAATTATATATGTATATAATTATACTAATACAACAATTTTCAAACATCAAAGAATATGTAAAATATGAACTGCAAATATTTGTATATATTAAATATAATCATAAAATTAT